CGATGATAAGTCTGAGGCTACGTGAGAGTTGCCTTATGTAGTCAGTGAGGCCAGCATGACTCCCTCCAGCAGTTGGTTTGAGCATGGTGCTGATAACACCAAGGTCACAGGTTTGATCCCCATATGCAAACAGTTACATATTCCTGTATTGAATGGGGTTGAATTCTAGGATTCTATGTGTAGTTGGACCAAAACTCTCATCAGCCTCAGCAATGTGGCTTCCAGAAGATTGCCCAGAAGGGAATGTGAAACTCTTCCACACCCCTGGGACCGATGGAGAAATAGTGGTACAGTGGTGCCTTGCAAGACGAAATTAATTCATTCCGCGAATTTTTTCGTCTAGCGAATTTTTCGTCTTGCGAAGCACGGTTTCCCATAGGAATGCATTGAAAATCAATTAATGCGTTCCTACGGTCAAAAAAAGTCCAAACAAAGCCAAATTTGGTACAACAAGAGTTTATTAAGTGCTCTTTAAAGTCACACATACTGTAAAGAGCATTTCAAAATTCAAACCCAGAATTTTTTTTAAAAAACAGCAGAGTTGCCCAATGGTCACAGAAAATCATAAAAATGCAGAAAAAAAACAAGCTTCCAGATTCTTGCAAACCCCTCCCCAACTGTTCCCCCAGCCACCCAGCACACAGAAAAAAAACACACAAGCTTCCAGATTCTTGCAAACCCCTCCCCAACACCAAGTCCTTGAATTCCAAACACCCCAACCCAAAATCCAAAACCCCCCAAAAAAGTTTTAAAAGCTTAACTTACCAAATGGCTGCAAAAGAAGTTTTGGAAAAGCTTCAAAAATCACCAAAGTCTTTAAAAACCTCAAAAAAGGCTACTATGTACACTGCGTTCTATGAGTTGCTTCTCGAAGTCAAGTTGCAACTGTATTAACGGTGTTAAGAAAAAGGAAACAAACTTGCAAGACGTTTTCGTTTTGCGAAGCAAACCCATAGGGAAATTCGTCTTGCGAAGCAGCTCAAAAAACGGAAAACCCTTTCGTCTAGCGAGTTTTCCGTCTTGCGAGGCATTCGTCTTGCGGGGCACCACTGTATATGGTGGCATGCCTACATTCCTGTCTTTATCCGCCATTTTAAAAAAGTTGCTCTGTTAGCACTGGGCCATGTTGCTGATTTGCCCTTCAGCGTTCTTCTCCCTTCCTTGCTTCTCCCTCCAGGCCTTTAAAGTTCCTGTTCTTTGCCATCAGAACTGCAAACATTTCAAATTATTTATGAAAATGACCCCCTTAGTCGGGAAAACATAAAGCGTTTATGAGCATAAAGCAACATTTCCCTAATTAGTACCTCTGAGAAATGTTTTTTTTTATTTTATTTAATGACTTCCTAATGCTAAACTGCCTTTAATATTATGATAAAATATGTTAACTACCAGGCTAGTCTGACTTGACGGATGAAAAGGACAGGGAAGTAATCTGTCACCTGCAGTTCTCATGCCACCTCAAATGATGCTGTTTTCAGTATTTACATAATACGAGGGCATTTGGCTTAGTTACTAATTGCATCGACATCTGAACGATATTCATCTTCGCCGAGCTTATCAGCAGCAAGCTTTCTGCACAAGGGACCACCGTTAAGTCAAAAGGGTGATAAACTTTCTAAGGTTGCCTCCAGTCTGTTCTTTATTTTGCAGGAGAGATCTTAAATAAAACAGAAGTACATTCTGTGACCTTTTAAATGTGTTTGTAGGAGGGAGATTATTGGTTTGTTTTGTGCTATTATATATATATATTGTGTTCTTATTTTGTATTTTTATATTGCGAACTACCCTGTGATCTTCAGATGGATGGTCTACAAGTTTAATAAATACCATAAACTCAGCCTTGCACAATTAAAGTGAATTAAAGTGCTCTGGCCTCCACTATAAGACCGGCTTATTGAACATTCATCCTGAATTGCTTGCACAAAGCTTACGTTGTGCTTAGATTGCGCCCTTTCTTTACTGAGCATTCATTCTGATTTGTTTATGGCTATAGCACAATGTTTGTGGGGTATTTACATGTTCCCCATTAATCATTTGTTCATCCTGTGCATTTCAGTGGATTTCCCCTTCACTTTCCAAAACAAAAAGGGTCCATAGAATCATAGAATCATACAATCATAGAATCATAGAGCTGGAAGAGACCACAAGGGCCATCGAGTCCAACCCCCTGCCAAGCAGGAAACACCATCAGAGCACTCCTGACATATGGTTGTCAAGCCTCTGCTTAATGACCTCCAAAGAAGGAGACTCCACCACACTCCTTGGCAGCAAATTCCACTGTCGAACAGCTCTTACTGTCAGGAAGTTCTTCCTAATGTTTAGGTGGAATCTTCTTTCTTGTAGTTTGGATCCATTGCTCCGTGTCCGCTTCTCTGGAGCAGCAGAAAACAACCTTTCTCCCTCCTCTATGTGACATCCTTTTATATATTTGAACATGGCTATCATATCACCCCTTAACCTCCTCTTCTCCAGGCTAAACATGCCCAGCTCCCTTAGCCGTTCCTCATAAGGCATCGTTTCCAGGCCTTTGACCATTTTGGTTGCCCTCCTCTGGACACGTTCCAGTTTGTCAGTGTCCTTCTTGAACTGTGGTGCCCAGAACTGGACACAGTACTCCAGGTGAGGTCTGACCAGGGCAGAATACAGTGGCACTATTACTTCCCTTGATCTAGATGCTATACTCCTATTGATGCAGCCCAGAATTGCATTGGCTTTTTAGCTGCCGCGTCACACTGTTGGCTCATGTCAAGTTTGTGGTCAACCAAGACTCCTAGATCCTTTTCACATGTACTTCTCTCAAGCCAGGTGTCCCCCATCTTGTATTTGTGCCTCTCATTTTTTTTGCCCAAGTGCAATACTTTACATTTCTCCCTGTTAAAATTCATCTTGTTTGTTTTGGCCCAGTTTTGGTCCAGATATATTTTATTTTTTTAAAAGTTGGATTTGTTGAATGACTGCAGGTCTACACCACACATTTAAAGCACATGATTTCCTGCAAAGAAACCTGGGAACTGTAGTTCACTAAGGGTGCAGGAATTTGTAATTCTGTGAGGGTGAACTACAGCTCCCAGGATTATTTGGGAGAAGCCTCATTAAAATGATGGTCATTTTGTGTCAGGGGTGCGTGGAGCCTTCCTCCTCTTGCCCTTTATTTAGAGCTGTGGTTGTTTGCACTGCCTTCCACACCTATTGAATTCCAGTTTAACTAAGAGAATTGGATTTTTACAACCATTTTTGTTGTTAAGGAGCACACACACCTTGAAGCAGCTTACAGCTATGCTGTGCCTGTGTGTGATTTTAGTTTGCTTTTGGTTTGCTTTTGGCTTTGTTTGTTAATGTTGTTAATATTGTTTTGTGCATTATGAGTGCTGTAATGCTTTGTGGGGTTTATATACAGTGGTGCCTCGCAAGACGAAATTAATTCGTTCTGCGAGTTTTTTCATCTTGCAAGTTCTTTCGTCTTGCGAAGCACGGTTTCAATTTTTTCAAAAAAATCTTCAAAAACCTCAAAAAAGGCTACCACACCGCGTGCTATGAGTTGCTCCCCGAAGTCAAGTCGCAACTGCACCTCTTCAAGCAATGCACCCTGTATTACTGTAACGGTTTTAAGAAAAAGGAAACAAACTTGCAAGACGTTTCCGTCTTGCGAAGCAAGCCCATAGGGAAATTCGTCTCGCAAAGCAACTCAAAAAACCAAAAACTCTTTCGTCTTGAGAGGCATTCGTCTTGAGAGGCATTCGTCTTGCGAGGTACCACTCTATTATATATTAGACTGGCCTCAACCAGAGTCAGGGCCTTTTCAGCCGAGGCCCTGGCCTGGTGAAACACTCTCTCACAAGAGACCAGGGCCCTGCAAGATTTGACATCATTCCGCCAGGCCTTTGGTCAGGGTTCAGTCTGACTCATTTTCTCTTTGTATAAGAACAAGCATGAAGAAGGTTTCCTAGCCCGCTCACAGGTCCTTATAATATCAGTGGAAACAGTTGGTCCTGATGAGTATTAACCACTTTCAATTTTAACCTGAGGATTGCCATTTGTCCAGTTTTAATTTTGATTTTAATTGATTTGAATTAATTTTGAGATGCATTTTAATCGATTGATTGCTTATTTTTATGCATATTGTATTATTTATATGATGTTAGCCACTCTGAGCCCCGCTCTGGCTGGGGAGGGCGGGGTACAAATAAAAATTTGTTGTTGTTGTTGTTGTTATGACTATTCTTGCGGTTGCGCTGTTCAACCTGTTTTTAAGTTGTTTTGTTAATTGTGTTTTATAGAAGGTAGTTGTTTTATTGATGATTTGTTAATTATTTTATATAATTTATGTTGCAATTGTGATGTTCTATTATGGCTGGACCTAGACACATCAAAGGAGCGATTTAGTTAAACGCATTGTAAACTCATACAGGGAAATCTGGTAGGGAGAGACAGAACTCCACAGTGCCACCTGGTGTCACAGTGTTATATCGCATACACAAACTTTTTCTTTACCAATCTACCGTAAATGAGTCCTATGTCATTATTATTATGTTATGTTATTTTTTATTGTATGTAAGCTGCTTTGTGACGCATATGGGTGAAAAGCAGCATAGAAATATAATAAACGAATGAAATGAATGAGTATGAGTGTGTGTTTGTGACATAGGAAGCTGCTTATACCAAGTCAGACAATTGGTCCATCTTGCCCTGATGCCCAGCATTTCAAGTAGGAGTCACCCTCAGACCTACCTGGATATACTGGGATTTGAACCTAGGTCCAGAGTTTTCAACTGGGGACATCTCCCACTAAACCGCAGGCTGCTTTATCAGACTTACTTCTGCATCTAAAACGTATGAGTACTTGTAAGTTTTCACACAGAAAGCAATTAGCAGCTCTTGCTGGATTATTTGCATGAAGAACACAGCCTAATGGGGTACAGGGAATGATCCCCACCTCAGCATCCCCTATAGACACTTGTAAACTTTAAAGAAGGCAGTCTTGAGTGCAGATTTGCCCAAGAGCCCCTGTGGTGCAATGGTTAGAGCACTGGACTAGCACCCAGGAGACCAGGGTTCAAATCCCTACTTGAGCCACAAAGCTCACTTGCCGATCTAGGGCCAGTCACAGTCTACCTCAGAGGGCTGTTGTGAAGATAAAAAGTGGGAAGCATACGTTGCCTTGATTTCCTTGAAGGAAAGGTGGGACAGAACTGAAATGATAATAAATAATAAACACATGTTTACCTCAAGAAACAAAGCCAATCTTTTTCCTCCCACTGTTCCTGGTTAACATGCTCCAACTGAAGGAGAAAAGCCTGCTGGCCTGGTGTTCAGTGGGAGCACATTTCCTCCTTATATGAAGAGAAAAATCATAAAGGTCAGTGGGATGTTGAATTATTCACCACTTTTACATTCCGGCTACCCAAAGAAGCCGTGCCAGAACGGCTGGAAATCTTTCTATGTAAGAATTTGTGAGGCAATTATTGATGAGCAAATTCTCCTCGGCTCAATTCAAAAGAAGCCTCAGCAAGCTGAACTCTCTCTGTACAAATACAAACACAGAAACACACACACAGAGAGAGTAATTCATTTCTCCCTGATCCCAGTTATGAATGCATATCCCACCATACTCCTCATGATGTGATTAGGTCAGTTATAGGCAAACTCAGCCCTCCAGATGTTTTTGAGACTACAATTCCCATCATCCCTGATCACTGGTCCTGTTAGCTAGGGATGATGGGAGTTGTAGTCCCAAAGCATCTGGAGGGCCGAGTTTGCCTATGCCTGGATTAGGTCATAAGAACAGGTGGCATAGCCAGGTGGCGCTGTGACAAGAACAGTGAAGTGGAGGTCTCACTGAAGGCAGTAAGGCAGGTATGGGGAGCCTATGGTCTTCCAGATGTTGCTGAACTACAACTCCCATCAGCCCCAGCAAGCATGTACAATGGTCAGAGATGGAAGGAGCTGCAACATCTGGAGAGCCAAAGGTTCACCACACCTACGCTCCCTGACCCCTTGAATCCAGCAGAGGCAGCATTCAATGTGTAGAGAAGGAGGTCCACCAGCTTTTATTATTGTCTGAGGAAGATAAGAACATCTGACAGAGCAGCCACTGACATACCACCAAAAAAAGAAAGAGGATCAAGGAGGATGCTGGCTTGCATAAAATGTCCATGTGCTAATTTAGTCATAGTCAATTTTATTTATATACTGCACTTTCCACAAATACATCTGTGCCCAAAGCAGTTCACATTAAAAAACAACAACACAAAGTCATCTAAATGCAGTAGTCCAATCATGATACTTTATAAAAAGTATAATACTACTGCACTAAATGAACAAAAAGCCACTTAGAAATCAGCAATTAACAGCTCACATCAAAATATAAGAGAGCGTTAACACTCACCAGTAGGTCAGGTACTGGTATGGCAACACTGCACATTGGAACTCCTTGCCTATTGTCATCAGGCAGGGGTAGGGCTGCCATACGTCTGGAATTTCCCAGACATAGCTGGGATTTGGCTGCTGGAAATAGTATCCGGGTGGAATTTCCGTAAATCGGCAAAATGCCTAGGAAAACCCGGGCGTATGGCAACACATGTTGGAAGTGTAGATACTCATAACTTGGAAAGCCACCTCCAGTCAGTGTAGACCAGGCTTCCTCAAACTTGGCCCTCCAGATGTTTTGAGACTACAGTTCCCATCATCCCTGACCACTGATCCTGCTAACTAGGGATCATGGGAGTTGTAGGCCAAAAACATCTGTAGGGCCGAGTTTGAGGAAGCCTGGTGTAGACAGGCTGTCCTTGATGGACCAATCAGTATATCTTAGTTTCTTACTTACCAATATGGATAGGAAGGTGAGAGATGAGAGTTTTGACCAATGCTTCAAGTCCTTTAGTTGCATGGGTGACACTCTGATTCCACACTGTTTTATAGGGGATTGAGCAACACAGCTTGTAAACAGCACTCAAACTTTGCAAGCACAGGGGCAGGCAGTGCAAAATCCAGGACTTTTTACTGCCCCAGTGTGAATGTGTATAATTCCTCGAGGAAATCCCATGCTTTGACAAGAACCAATAATGCCATGCAAAAAGAGGCTATGCTTTTAAATGAATACATCCCCGACAACATTATTACTAATCTGTGTGTCTGATTTTCTCCATTTATCATCCAAAAGGTCAGGTCCTCTACTCAGCCTCTAGCCACGGGACAGAAGCATACATTTAAAAATTGCAAAACTGCCCTTTGTGCCTCTATTTAGTTGTCAAAGGAGCAATTCTGCAAAGGGCATTCATACCGCCATGAAAATAATAAGGAATGCAAAACAGGCTAGCTGGGGGAAGAGGTGAATGGGTCTTTAAAGCCCTTATCACTGAGCGGTAGAATACATCCATTAGATGATTGGGTTTTGCCAGGCCTGGGTGATTTCCTAATTGGCAATTTGGTTCACATTTGGTTCACATTTATCTGCCTTCTGGGTAGATTTCCTCCTATTTGAAGAACGAAAGGTTCTGCAGGTTGTTTTGGTTCATGTAAAAACATTGTACGCAGTAGATATTTGCTCCTTTAATTTGTGCTTGAAGGCAGTGTCCTGGGCAGCTCATATTGGCACAAGACTGCCCAATGCGTGAGACTGAAAAATGGTGGCTATCTTCCCTTTTCCAGTTCAAGGAACATAGAAACCTAGGAAGCTGCTCATTACTGAGTCAGCCCATTCTTCCTTCCCTTCTGACCAACCCTGCCAAGACATCTTCACGGGACTCATGAACTAGCCCTCATCATCCCTTACCATTGGGGATGGGGGAATTGGAATCCAACAGCATCTGGAGAAACAGCTTTCCCCCGATCCCATTTTTAACCCTGCATGGCCTTCCAGATGCAGTAGACTACAAAGTAATCACAATAATTATTAGCAGGGCATTTTTTTCAGCCAGAACTTGCCAGAACTCAGTCCCTGCACCTCTCAGGTGGGCACTGTTGCCATTATAAGAGAGCAAGGGAGGTGTTCGTGGTGAGTTCCAGCACCTCTTTTTCTATAAAAACAGCACTAATTACAGTGGTACCTTGGGTTAAGTACTTAATTCGTTCCGGAGGTCCGTTCTTAACCTGAAACTGTTCTTAACCTGAAGCACCACTTTAGCTAATGGGGTCTCCCACTGCTGCTGCGCTGCCGGAGCACAATTTCTGTTCTCATCCTGAAGCAAAGTTCTTAACCCGAGATACTATTTCTGGGTTAGCGGAGTCTGTAACCTGAAGCGTCTGTAACCCGAGGTACCACTGTATTAGTATTGTTAATTATTAGTATTATTAAATTTATTGGTCACCTTTTTTGCCATAGCAACTTAACTTGCCAGCTGAAAAGGAACAAGCTACTCTGGTGATGCAAAATGCTTTGCTTCTGCTTAGATTTCTAAAATTATACGTGTTTCTGTAGCTCATTCTAAATCTGTGTGCATATTGAGTGAAGGTGAACTCTGCCTAGAAGTGAACATGTATTGTGTATGTGTTTGTGTTTACTTGGTATGCTATGACCTGAGCACTGTAAAACATGGCAAACAATTAGAAACTCTGGGGACAGGAGTGTTTCGTCTGCATTTCAATTTCCCTGAAAACCATATGCCACTGCTGCTGAATGAGGGGACCCATTCCTAGTTGAGATTTAACACAGCGATGCCCTATTACTGTGGGCACCTGAATTGCTGACATGTGTGGCACAGGTTTGTAATGCAAAAGTCTTTGATGGAAGAGGCTGTACATAATCCCTGTAAACTGCCCTGGGCTCATATGGGAGGAAGGGCTGTTTAGAGCAGACGACAACATTGAAGAAGATGCAGACTGTTGTTTGAGTCTCAAGCTGTAGTTCAGAGCATGTAACGTTTTCCCACTCCATCTCCTCTTTCTTGGGTTTGTTTCCTGCCCTCTGCTCTATGTTTTCCCGTGTTCCTGTTGACTTTCGCATTACAAATCACCTCCGCACGGTGGAAAACACAAACGCGCTGCTGAAAGCAGGCAAATCCCTGCCAGCAGCAAAGGAATGTGTGACTAATGTTGGAGAGGATTTGTGAAATGAACTGGCTGATCGAAAATATTTGCAAATCCCAAAGCGACTTAAAGGGGGGAGGGGAACCCCACGTGCAGGCTTGATACATGAATGGCTTATGTAGCTTCATGGAGATGTTCATGGGCATTTGAAGGAAGTGCCAGGGAGAGAGATTGTCCAGGATGCTTCTGTCACGTAACCCAGGTCATCATGTAGACTGACCGAATAGTCTTTTCAGGGCTGGACTTTGGTAGGTAACAATACAGGTCTTTTTGAAGACTCACCTGCACTTGTATGAACCAAACTGAGCTCTAAGATGGGCTTCTGAGGGGCCCCTTGCTGAGGCTCCATCATTTAAGGTCCATTAGATTGGCATGCGTATGAGGCAGGGCCTTCTTAGTTGTGGTGCCACAGCTAGTGGATCGCTGGTCAGACCTTGAGTTGTCTGTATGAATATTTGATAGCCTTTATGCTTTGTCCTTTGCCAAGGATGCCCTCAGTAGGGAATCTATCCTCCAGTGTCCTTCTGGCCCATTCTGGCTACTGTCAATGTCGTCCACAGCCCTACTAGTGACTACCACTAGTACAGATGAAGACAATATGTAGAACCTCTCTGTCTGGTTTTCAGGACTCTCCTTAGGTGGCCACCATCCCTTCTCAGCTTCTGTTCCATGCCTTCCTTGAGTTATTATGAAATGTGTGTTTGAAGTGTGGTCATTGTGAATTGTGATCATTTAATTGTGAATGGGTGATGGAGTGGGTGGGTGGGTGGGTGTGTAGACACCTCTGGCTTAAGTGTGGCTCGAATGTAACCTATGGTACAAAGGTCAGAGTCTCATCCTTAACTCTGCCCTCTTTCATCTTTGGTCATGCCCACTTCTCCATCCAGTCCTACTCACCACTGTCATGTGGGAACACAGCTTATGATCTATTTATTTCATTAAATTTTACAACACTTGACTGTAAAAAGCTTTTTAATGTTTAATCTTTTATTATGTTTTTATATATGTTGGAAGCCACCCAGAGTGGCTGAGGCAACCCAGTCAGATGG